ATAGGGTGCCCGTGCAGGGGGATTGGAAGGGCTCCCCATGGCCACTTCCTCTTCCTTCTTTGCAGTCCGGGTTCCTGTCAGGCACTCTCCTCAGACCCCGGGGAACTAGGCTCTGGCCACCCACCCCATGCTGCACACCAGCCTCCTGCTGGTATGCCAATATGTAAATTGGTCATTACTCTGATAATTAGCATATTACCTCTTTAGATGATAGATAAGCCTTCAGTCTTCACAAGAACACCTTGAGCTTGTTCACCAACATAATTACCCATCCCAGCTGAGTCACGGTTCAGGAGAAGGTGACACCCTTTCTCAGCGAGTCTGTCTCTTAGTTTCCAGAGGAACAAGGTAACCGAGGAAACCCTCCCTGCCCCATCCAATGGCAGGTCCCTCCTTCCTCTGGCAGCCCTGGCCCCAGGCAATGGCTGTGTCTGCTTCGTGTCTCCGCAGGGTGGGAACGACCATGAGATCTTCACAGACCAGAGGACCATGGGTTACACCGTGATGGCCCCCGAGGACACGCGCAGGATCTGTGAGGAGCTCTTCTCATAGCGCCCCTCCCAGGGAGGGCGGGAAGGCCCAGCTGCAAGCCCGAGAGGCTCGCCAACCCGGTGGCCAACCCGGATCTCTCCCTCCCGTGCCCATGGACATTTACAACCACCCGGCCCAAAACAAACATGTAATAACACTTCCTGAAACGAAGTACCTGCTGAGTGTCGGCTTGGGAGGAGCCTTCAGACCAGGGCACTGTGGTCATCAGCCGGTAGTAAGCTAAGTGACCTCTGAACTCTTGTTTTCCCACCCCACTTCCTGTTTGAGAGCCACAGACCACAGTGTGGCCTGTGGACGACTGGCCAGCCAAGTGACAGCTGACCCAACAGAGCTTGCCCTCCGCTGGCCTGGTACACAGGTTAGCTCAGACCCACTACAGGGAGCTGGTTCTCTAGCCATCAACTTGGGAGGCAGAGTCCCAACAGCCCTCCCCCAGGGGCTGCTCCGAGCCAGGTTCAGAGCCTAATAGGCGTCACGCTTCACCAGAGAACCGGCCTGGGCTTCCCAGGGGCTTGATCTGCCTGGTTTCTCCGGCATCAGTGAAAGCCACGGTGATTAGCAGGACAGAAGCTGCCCTGTTTCTCTGCAAACCTGTGAATAAATAAGCGCAGGACCCTGGCCCTCACCCCGATTCTGACCTCAGGGCTGGGAGCAGCCTTGGTTGGACCTGGGCCCTTCCCCCTCCCTCCCGAGTTGTGCTTGTTCCTCATGGAACTGGAAGGCCCCTCCAGGCCCTGGGCCAGAACAGGGCGGAGATGGCTTGCCCAGGCAACGGTTAACATGTCGATTCCTAGCCTCTGGAAACGTGGCGACCCACAGCCCTCCACAGATTGGTACAAGGGCCCGAGGCCGGCTTCAGTCTCAGTGTGACCTCTGCCGGGGCCCCGACCTGAATCCATGCGCTTTGCACCCCCGCCTTCCCGCCCCACCAGGTGCTTTCATCACAGAGGAGCCTGGCTTCTCCCGAGGTGCACCCAGGCTTCTCGGCTCTGGACAGCGCCCCCACCACGCGGTTGGCGTTTTTAGCAGTTCCCAGGACATGCCATCCGTGGCATCTCATCGAAGGGTTTTCAGATGTACTGTAATGACTTTTTTCAACGTGACGAGTAGCAAATTAAAGTGATTGTATTGTTTCCTATTTCTCATTCTGAGCTTTTCATGTCAGCCTGTTTGCTCTTCGGTCGCATGGGATCCAGTCCCTACCACATAGGTAACGTCATTCCAGTAAAGCTCACTGAGTGGTGGGTGTAAGCTATCACTAACTCACGTAACCCCCCAGCAACCCGGAGAGCAGGACTTCGCCGGAAGCCAGCCCTCAGCCTCGCAGGGTCGTGGGATAAAGACACCATCACCAGAGCCCTAAATGTGCTGAGTGCTGAGCAACAGGGAAGCACAGAGGCTGCACCTGGTAAGAAAGCAGGTCCCGGCCCAGCACCGCAGAAGCCAGCTGGTACTCAGCCCTGGACTCAGGTCTCTGGGGACACCAGTGGCTGCAGGAGTCAGGCCTCCGGGAAGGCCTTCTGAGGTCCCGAGGAGCCTAAGCCTGGCCCTGCGGGAGGAACCAGAGGCAGGGAGCAGATGTGCATTCAGGAAGGGCGGGGCGTAGGTGGCTTTGAATCACTTCCTTTCCAAGAGCTGCTTCCTCTTCCTCTCCCCCCAAAAAGTGCTCCTTGATCTCAGGCCTGCAGGCACCTGGGCCAGGCAGCCAGCCTCCAGGCACCGCCAGGCCCCTCTGCTGGCTGCCCTCCGCAGCACCCGCTCAGGCTCTGAAGCTCAGTCCATGCCCCACTTGCAGCTGTTCCCAGTATCACCTGCAACCTGCCAAGGCCTCCCTCATGCCACCTGGGTTACATCCTCTTAGTGCAACATGCCCACAATCTCATGGTTTTGAGCTTTGGCCTCTCCCTAAAAGGTTCACTGGATTGGTCCTAATTTTCCCCAATACACTTTGAAACGAAAAAACATCAATTTGTTGTTCCACTTATTGATGCATTCATTGATTACTTATATGTGCCCTGACCTAGGATCGAACCCAAAACCTTGGCGTATCGGGATGACGCTCTAACCAGTGGTCGGCAAACTCACTAGTCAACAGAGCCAAATATCAACTGTACATCGATTGAAATTTCTTTTGAGAGCCAAATTTTTTAAAATTTAAACTTCCTCTAATGCCACTTCTTCCAAATAGACTAGTCCAGGCCGAGGTATTTTGTGGAAGAGCCACACTCCAGGGGCCAAAGAGCCGCATGTGGCTCGCGAGCTGCAGTTTGCCAACCACGGCCCTAACCAATTGAGCTACGCGGCCAGGGCCTTTCCTAAATCACTTTGAAAAGCAACATAGCCTTAAAATAAAAATGTTCACCTCTGCACCAACAAAGATCGTTTTCCACCCCCCTGAGAAAGGCTGTCCCAGAATGACCTTCCCAGCCCCACACGTGAAGACCCGCCCGGAGCGGCCCTGCCGGTCCAGCCCAGCCCAGCCCCTCGCCTCCTCCCGCCCTCCTGGGAACCAAACACTGTTCTCCCGGCTCAGCCTCACAACCCCAGTGTAAACGCATCCACAGGGCTTCCATCCACAAGTGACCAGGTAGCACTTTCTGTTGTCAAAAAGCCACGTTCCACTCCTAAGCTTCCTACCCTGAGCCTGACAGAGAAAAGGTGCGATCCCATTTTCTGACTCAACCCCAAAACCACCAGCTGTGGAGTGGGATGACTCAGCCTGGTGTGGGAGCCGCCCTGACCCTGCGGCTCCAGGGAAGAGCTTCCTCACCGCCAGCTCCTCGTCAACAAACAACACACAGCCGTGCACAAAACAGCCTTTATTGACAGGAAGGTGGGAGGAAAGACCTGGATTTAGGAAAGCAAACTGGGATGGGTGCAACTCCCATCTCAGTCACCAACACCTCAGTCCTCCAGAGCCCAGAGCAGGTTATGTATGTTGGGTCGGAGTGGGAGGGGGTCCCTTCCAGCTCTGGAATACCCACTGAAGAGCTGGTCACACAGGAAGGACTGCAGGAGCCATTTGCAAAGGATTCCACACACACAGGTCACCTCCAAACAGCAGATCCAATCCCAACCCACTGGCAGGCGGAGTCAGGGGATCACACAAAAGACCGGGGGCCCCTGGCAAAAGTGGCTCCAGAAGTGTGGCCTGTACCCAAAAGAAGCCTCCAGGGGCCAGCTGGCACACCCAAGGCTCACGGGAAAAGGCCACCTGGGCCCAGCAGCAGGCGAAGGCAGGAGGCAGAGAGCTGTGCAAGGGGCACGGCGGGCCAGGAAAAGGCAGATGGAGTCACTTAACCGTGGGGTTTCACTGCACACACATCATCACACACTTTGTGTTAAACAACTGCGCCAGCCATCAGCCAAGCAGTTCCAGCCTCCCACCCTCCGACGAGGCCGTCCCCAGGCTGAACACAAAGCGTCCCCAGAAGGCAGACACCTGGGGGCCGGGCCGGGCCGGGCCTGCTTCCCCCACCCCCCACCCCCGGCCCAAAGCCCCGTGCTCAGTCTTCAGTCTAGAACGCCCTGTCTGCCCAAAAAGCCACTTTCCATGCTGACAACTGAACTCCTGACTCCACACCAGCCACATATTCCAAACGGATTACCCAGCTAATTCTATTTAAAAGCCACACTACAGCCAAACCAAAGCACAGCACATACACTCCTAGGCCTGTTGACTGGCATTAGCTATAATACAAAGGCTCCAAACGCCAGCAGAAAGCGCAGAGCTGGCCCCGGGAGAGCGGCCATTACTTTAAAAACCAAAACTCCTAACATTTCTTCACGCCTGTTTTCAAGACAACCCCTTCGCCCAATGTCTTTCTCCAACGTTTGACTTTACCGGGCTGTCAGAAAGCAGGCTACTTACTCTTTTCTGGAAGGATCAGCAGAAAGGTCTGTTTTAAAACAAACACCCTCCCCTCTACGCTCCCTCCTCCCTCCCCATCCACCACTTATTAACAAGGGAGGCGCAATGGCTGCTGGGCCTTAATCACTGGGCTTGAAGGCAGGTGGAGAGGACCAGGCTTCTAAGGGTTAGAATTCAGCTCTCAGCACGGCCTCCCCAGATGGAGGGCTAAGGGCTCCTGGGAAAACTTTTCCCGAGCCCCAGCTGTGACACCTCCTGCTGCAAAGGCACCCGAGACCCTGAGACCCTCCAACCCCTCTCACCCCGCCCCCCGGAGCCAGCTCCCCTGCAACCAACCAAGCCTGGAACCAAAAAGCCTGCTCTGCCCGGGGCCAGGGAGACACAAGACGGGGGCGCCTGGGTGGGGATTCATGCCGGGGAAACACACGGGATCCGAGTGTGTCACCACCCGGCAGAGTCCTGAGCCTCCAACCCCAGGGGGATGGGGATGAGGGGCTATGTGGGCTGGAGAAACGCCCCCTGACCCACACCCGGGGCGAGGGTTGCACCCTCTACTCAGCCACCAGCCGGGCGCCTCTCCTTGTTCAATGCTTTTAATACTTTTCAGATGGTGCGGTTGTTGTGATGGTCAGAGGCTGTGCTGGTGGCCCAGACACCCCGTGCCTGCCCCCGACCCCCTTCCACCGGGAGATTCTTGAAAGGGACCAGGCTCCCTGCTCGGAAGCCGCATCCAGGGCAGTGGAATGTCATCTCCAGTCCGGTCCTGCCTCCTCTCCGCAGTCTCCCACAAGCCCCAGAGAAGGGGTGCCCCCGGCCTCTCCTAGGAGCTGACGACGTGGCCGGACCAGGTCTCGTGCTTGGTGCCCGGCGCCAGGTGGGTGATGACCACCTCCACGGCCTGCAGCTTCTCGTGCTTGGGCGGGATGGAGCACATCTTGTAGGTGACCTCGTCGCCTTCCACCGGCACGTACTCCCCTTCCACGCTGCGGGGTGGGGAGAAGCACTCAGGCCCAGCACTCGAACAAGCCCCGAGCTGTGGGAGGCCGTGCCCAGGACTCAGCCCCTGCTGGTCAAAGGGCTGCCTGGGCCTGCCCCTCCCGCCCTGCCCCCTGCCACCAGTCAGAGGGAGCCACCGTGCCCCAGCCACTCCACTGCCCCAGCCTCTCTCCCCCCTCTCCCTCCGTGCTGCGGGCCCCACACCCCATCAGCGGCTGCCCTGGGACCTCTGACGCTGGGACAGAAGCCCAGCCTGGAGGTGCTCACGTGTTACGGTAAGCGTGGGCGACCCGGGGCCTTTTGGACAGAAGAGCCGGGGAGCCAGTCTGAACCAGAGAGACAAACGAGGTGGCCCCATGGGAGATGAGGGATTCCCAGGCACGGGCAGTGCGCCCTCTGTGGGATCACCCAGTACCACCTGCCGAACCCAGGCTGCACCTGCTCTTCCACTCCCCAGAAACGGTGAGCCTTCCAGAAAGACCCTTTGTGCTTAAAGCTCGTTCCAGGAGGGTCCTCTCCCTTGGGGCCATTCCCTGGAAGAGTCCCTCACTTTCTACGGGACCTGAGTCACCCTCCGGCCCTGGGGGTGATATGCCCATCTTGACGCCCCCTTGATGAGACCCCACAATCCCCCTGAGATCCTGAGCGCCGGGGCCAGCCAGCTCCCCAGATCTGGTTTGCCTCGATGAGAGAATCACGGAGCAAACGGAGCGTCCCTCTTCCGTGTGGCGACCTGGAGCTCAGGAACGCAAGGGCAGCACCTGCCGCAGGACCAGGCACCCCGGGACCTCTCCTTCCGTCCCCGCCTCCACCCTGTGCTCCTCACTCACCGGTTTTTCGTGATGCCCTGAGCATACCCTTGTAACCCACCACCAGCCCTTTCTGGGAAGAGGCAGTGCACACCCACTTATGCACTCAACATACGTGATGTGTTGCTTGAGCATCCTAGGTCTACACAGTGCAGGGGGCCTACTTACTAGCAAGACCTGCCGTGTAAGCAGTGGGAGGGGGAATAAAGAAAGGGCAATTCTCTCCATCAATAGGTTCCCATTTCCAAATATATGGCTTCTGCATGCAGGCCGAGGCAAAAGTAGGCTTATCATTCTTCCCATGGAAAATAACACAATCATTAATAAGGAATAATGCAAGAGTAAACTGTGCTTGGCGCACTCACCGCTGCAAACCTACTTTGGCCCCAGCCCACGCAGAACACAACTCTCCCGCAGACTGACAGGAAAGATCAGGGGGCGCTGAGGCCAAGGGTGGGGTGGGGTAAGGCTGCCAGGTCAGGCCTCCACGCGGCTGAAGGCTGGAAGTGGGACACAGGCCGCGGGACGCCGGGGCCTGCCTGTGTGGGCCCCGCCCTGGCCCTCCCGGGGCTTCCAGACACTCAGGAAGGAAGGACGTCGTCAGGCAGCCAATGGCTAGAGGAAGGATCCAGCGCCAGCTTCCCGGATCAGAGGGGCTGGGCAGGAAGCCGCCCTGAGGACAGACACAGGGGCGCCCCTCGCCCTCCACCGGACCAGATACACTCGGGCACTCAGCCCCATCCCACCCACCCCAATGGTTACACACACACACACACACACACACAGACTGTCACCTGCAGCATCAGCTACACCAGCACCACCAAGTGCGGTCTCACAACCCAAAACCAGTTTAGCTCAGTGCATAGAGCGTCGGCCCGCCGGACTCAAAGGTCCCAGGTTCGATTCCGGTCAAGGGCATGTACCTTGGTTGTGGGCACATCCCCAGTAGGGAGTATGCAGGAGGCAGCTGATCGATGTTTCTCTCTCATCGATGTTTCTAGCTCTCTATCCCTCTCTCTTCCTCTTGTAGAAAATCAATAAAATACATATTTTTTTTAAAAACCACCCTGAACAGTTACACTGGGTCCCACGTGCCTGGACCCACCCCCTCACCCATCATGGTCACACCCTCTCCCTGCCCCTGAGGAACCGAGCCAGGGCCCGCCCGCCCGCCGGCCCAGCCCCCGCACTCACTCGGAGATGTGCAGGAAGATGTCGGGGCCGCCGTCAGCCGGGGTGATGAAGCCGTGGCCCTTGGAGCGACAGAAGCATTTGCACACGCCTTTATAGATGGGGCCCTGCGAGGCCCTCACCGTCCTGTCGGAGGAGGAGGGGAGGGGGGTGTGAGGGGCCCCAGCAGCCCTCCAGACACACACCCACTCTCCTGGGGCGCACCCAGCTCATCCCAGCCCTGCCCGCCGCTGTGGCCCCAGAGGCCCTGGCACCACTCCGGGGGCCATTCACACGGAACCCAGGAAGACGGGCTCCCTGGCGACCTTGGCGACGGTTCTCAGGACTCGGTTTCCCCCATGTGGAGAGAGGGCCTTAGACTAAACGCTGACGACAGATCCTTAACCAATCAGAGCAGCGGCCTGCACTCACTGGGCCTGAGGTCTGCATCTGCCAGGCACCGTGTGCATCCTCAGCTGCCCCGTGGCAGCCCTGCTCGTGTCCCCATTTTGCAGCTGAGTAGGTTGAGGTCTGACGAGGGAAGAGGCTCTGTGTGGTTAAAGGCCAGCGGTTTCCGACCCCGGCAGCGGGGCCTCGCCCCAGCCCGCGACAGGCTCCTGGGGGCCCGGGGCCGCGCCCTCCAGAGTTCGCAAGGCACTCTCCAGTGCTCTCCCTGAGCCCGACCCCACGTCTCCCCCTGTGACAGACAGGGACACTGAGGCACAGCGATGGCCGCCTGCCTCTGGGAGCCTCCCCCGGCCGGCCCCGAGACTCACGCGGAGAAGGTCCTGGTGCGGCGGGTGGGCAGCGGGCTGGGCACCACGTTGCTCCGGAGCGGGGATGGTGAGCGGTTGCGGCCCCGTTGGGTGTCCAGCAGCCCGACCGAAGCCTGGTGGGTGGGGGGCTGTGGTGGCGCAGGAGGCTCAGATGACATGGCTGACCTGGAGAGAGAGAGGGGGGCGCTCAGGGGCTCACCCCCCGCAGGGAGGCCCCAGATGCATACCCACCCCCACATCGGGGAGTCTGCCATCGGAGACCCCTTCCTCTCGCTGTGGGATGCAGGCCCGAGCCCCCTGAGCATGCAGGTCCCAGCCACGTCTCACAAACTGCCCCCCAAACACGACGACGGGCCCAGCGGGTCAGGCACACCCCCCCGCCCCCCGGGGTCTGCAGCAGCCGGGCCCCCTCTATCACGCTGCTCAGAAAGGCCAGCTGGTACCCATGACAAGGTCAGCGTCGGTTCCCTGTGCCTGTGTGTCCTCAGTGCCCAGCACAGCCTGGGGCAGTGAGTAAACACAGTGACAGGAAGTGGGGAAGGAGCCGGGGGGGGAAGGAGCTCTACGCCAGCCCCTGGACCAGGACTCCAGCCGGAGAAACACTTTCTGGACCCTGCAAGCGCCAGGGAGGAGGAAGAGGGGGTGGGGAGGAAGAGGGGGAGGCAAAAGAAATAGCTCAGTGTTCATCCAGGAGACTCTGGGACACAAACCAGACAGGCTCAGACACCGAGTCTGGATTGCAGGGCTGTGACCAGCCGGCAGCGAGGGCCACCTCAGGCGGCATGTCCACCGGCCACTTCCAAAGACCCAGCACCCCGTCTGGGTCACCGGGCTGCCAGGACCGCTGATGACCTGGGTGAGCCCCCAGCATGCATCAGGTGGGAGCAGCGCCGGAGGCTGCCTGGCTGCCTGGCCCGGGACGATTTGCCAAGATCCGGACGTGGTCACCAGGGAGCACCACAGGGCGACTACAAAGGCGCCCTCTCTAGTGTGGCCTTGGCTCAAGGTCGAGAACAAAGAGCCCAGCCCAGGAGCCGGGGGCCCCAGTACGTCCCTTCCCCTCTGGGGGATGAGTGTCTCCTCTGCAGGGGGAGCCTCCAGGAAGGCCACGAGGGAGGCCAGGAGCCTGCGCCCAGATCTCACCGAGTTCACACACAGAGGTGGGGGGTGGGGGGGGAGACAGAAGCTGCCCAAAGGGTACAAGTGCCTCCCACGAGGCTTTCAAGTCTAAACTGTGGTGATCCTTTAAACATCCAGGAGTTTGCCTCACATTCCGGGTTTCCAGCTGCTCGTGAGAAAAACCAGCGGGCGAAGACCATCTGAACCCCCAGGTAGCCACCCCGCTGCCCTCATTTCTAGTAACCATGTGGCCGCAGGGCACCACGGTTTCAAAGTCACCCAGCAATGTCCCCGCTGTCCCCAACCAAACCACCAAACACCGGCCGCATTCCTCTCCCCAAAAAGCAAAATCTCTGCCCCCACACTCCCTACCTCCGCCCCCCCCCCCCACCCCCTCACCCCCACAGCCCGGGCTCCAGCTGGCTGAGAAGGGGAGCCAGCTGCCTCTGGAGGACGTGGCGTAGCTACCTCCTGACCCTTCTCTCAGCTGCAGCCACGGCCAGGGAGGACCGGGAGTCCGGGGAGCCCCCACCTCAAAAAGGCCCCGGCTGCTAGGCTGGGGGTTAGGGCTCCAGCGTGACCCGCCAGCACAGGTCATAGAGTCCTGGAATGTTCCAACGCACGGGGTTCTGGGAAAGGGCCAGCCCGGAGAAGGGAGGGGAGGGCCCTGCCCCGCCCTCACTCAGGCCACCCAGGACAGCCCAGGACAGCAGGGGGGACCGTAGTAGCTTGGTGACACCAGGGGGGGGGGGCCCTCCCTGTATCACCCCCCTGTACCCCCCTCCTTTCCTCGGGGTCAGGCACATCTCACTCCACATTTAAAACGTGAGCTAGCTCCTAAACACCCGGGAGCTTGCCTCCAAGTCCAGGGACCACCTGCCAGCTGTGCCATCTCGGGCACGCTACTGACCCTCTCTGGGCCTCCTGCTTCCACATCCGGGGAATGGAGATTATAATGGTCCCGACTCCCCAAAGGGATCGTGAAGTCGAAATGAAACAATGCACGCTGAGCACGCCGTCTGCCCCCAGCAAGTGAGCAATACGTGTCATCTGTAATTGTTGTGTAATTGTCATCATAAAACTACTCAACAGGTGTGTGCCCTGTGCATGGCACTGGAGACAGGGCTCCATGTGGAGCCGGAGAATAAACAGGTAGACCAATATATGAACCAGATCACTGAGATTTCCAAAAGTGAAAATACACCAGAGATAAAAAGAACAGGGGGGGGGGGGGGGGGGGGGGGGGGGGGGTTTGATTCCCTAAAGAGCTTACAAGCTGGATCCTGAACCATCTGAAAAGCAGGAGGTGGAGGGCGGGGGGGGGGGGGGGGGGGGGGGCGCCTTGAGGTCGATGTGGTGGCTCCTGGGGATGGAGAAGGTAAGAGACAGGAGATGGGATGGAAGGGAGGGCAGAAAAGCTCAGGAAGCGTTGAGCCTCATCAGCATCACGTGTCTTCCTTTCTTCACACCTATTTGTCTGTCTGTGTGTCTCCATTCCCCTTGCCAAGCCCATCTCCACCTGGGTTAAGGAACCGGGCCAAATTGGGCCCCCCTTCTCTCTCCACCCCTTCTCCTCAACCCCCCCAATACACTCCATCCCTCAGAGATGCTGTCAGAAGCCCGTGACCTTGTGAAGTAAGCAACCTGAGGGCAGCACGGGGTCCCCCTGGGTCTCCAGGGCCAGCACTGGGGCTGCCACAGACCAGGGTCTTGGGGACAGTCCAGGGAACAGCCCAGACTCCTTACCCAGCACCGGGCCCAAAGCCGGGCTGGCGAAGGCGGCCACATTCCTGCTCACCTGGCACTGAAAGCAGGAGACGGGGGAGGGGGCAGGGAAGTGCCAGCCCGGGAGACCCAGGAGCCTTAATCACCAACTCCCTGCCAGCCGCTCAGGGCCCATCTGAGCTGGAGAGCAGCTGGGGCAGCTGGGGCAGGCCTGGCCAAGGGCCAGCACCCCCACCCCACCCCCAATGGGCCTGGGAGGGAGGAGGAGAATGGCCTCTGTGTGGGGGAGGCCTCAGTGTAGGTCAAAGTCCAGCTGTAAGGAAAACAGCTGGGGGAGGGAGTTGCCAGTCACCCAAGAGCCAGCTCTGGGGCCCTGTCGCTGCCCCCTCCCCCAACACACACACACATACACACATACTTGCCCACATGCATGCAGCAACACCAGCTCCTCCAGCATAGTCTTGGCTTCCTGCTGGGCAGCTGTGGTCCCAGGGGTGGCCTCGGAGCATCCCTGAGGGAGGCAGCCCCACTCGGGTGGCCAGCACCCTCCCCCAACTCCTGCAGCTGGGAGGAGTTTGCACACAGACGCTCAGGCTGGCCAGAGGCTCTAGGTCACACCTGGGGTGGGCCCCTCAGACCAAATATCATGCCCCAGGCATGTCACAGTGGCTGCTCTGTGAACACAGGTGTTTGTGTATCTATGGCATGTGTATATGAGTGTGCACAGGTATGTGTGCTCACTCGGGAGCCATCTGTGCATCTGAACACAGGCATACGAGTGAGCCTGCTCTGGCTGATGGCCCAGGCTTGTCACTGCCAGTGTGTGCACACCAGGGGGCCAGGTGGGCTCACCCTGCCCCCCACACCCCGGGTGCTTGCTACACTGGCATCAGAGGACCTTGAAGAATGTTGCCTCCTAGTCATCTTAGAGTTCCTGGTCACCTGCCATGAACAGGAAAGAAGCTCAGGACAGCACAATCCCTGCCCTCCAACCACCAGAACTGGGGCCAGCAGTGCTCTTAGCACTTCGCACGTCTCAGCTCGTTTCATCCCCATTTCACTGATAGAAAAACTATCGTATCAAGTGACTTACCCAAGCTTCCCACCTAATAAGTAAACTGGTGAAACATCACATGATCTCACTCACTTATGGATAATAAAGAACATTATAAAATGATGAACAAAAAGATAGATACAGAGACAGTAAAGCAACAAGCAGACTGTCAAATTACAGCGGGGAGGGGAGGGAGATCTGGGGGAGATAAGAAATCAACCGAAGGACTTGTATGCATGCATATAAGCATAACCAATGGACGAAAAACTCTGGGGAGGGAGGGCATGTATGGGAGTGGGGGGGGGCAATAGTAAGATATGTACACATATAATACCTTAATTTTAAAAAAATGAAAAAAAGAAAAAGAAAAAAAACACACACAGTGAGTACATCCAACAGTGGAAAAGCTATGAAGGAAAAGCAAGCGGAGGCAGGGAGTGTGGGTGAGGGGCTGTGTTTTTAAATACGTACTCCCCCTTCCCCAGACTGCACCCCCGGGTTCTGAAGAGTGCCCAGCCGAGAGAGGGAACCCAGGACCGAAAGGTAGGGAAGCCAGGAAGCCACTCCCACCCTGCGGGTCCCCAGGGAAAGGTGTGTCAGCAGGCCTGTACCCTGGGAAAGGGCGGAGAAGGGGGCCTCAGCCCAAAATAGCCTGGGAATTTTCCACAGGCCATGCGAGTCCTCCTGGAAGGTTCTGAGAATCCCACTGGCCACCAGGCTCCTCCTCGGCCCGCAGATCTGGACACTGGAGATCCAACCCTGCAGGTCTCCCCTTAATCCCCCACCCCCTCCTGCCCTCTCAGCCTAACAGCCACCAGCCCCAGGGCCAAGCCGCTGCTGGCAGGAGAGGATGAGTACTAGCCCACACAAAGGGCAGGCGACAGGGGCCTGGAGAACCAGGCACGGGGCCTGGGGGCATGGAGGCAGTGAAGGTGTGATGTCCACCATCCACTGACTTCTACATCGGGCTCTGTGCCAGCATTTATATACATGAACTAGATTCACGCCCACGTCAGCCCCCCAGGGGAGGCACTTTTATCATGCCCATTTTACAGATAAGGAAACTAAGGCACAGGGAGGTTTGAGCCAGCTCTTCTCACACTTGAGTCGACCCGTGAATCTCAGGGATGGAGTGAAGGTTCTGATTCTGAAGGTTGGGGGCTGAGGCCTGAGAGTCTGCATTTCTAAGGTGCACCCAGGGAGGCAGATGCTGCTGGACCACGGGTCACAGCGCCCACGGAGCTGGTGGTTCAGAGAAACAGGGTGGTGGGTTGGAGGTGTTGAGGCTCAAAGGGGACGTGGTCCTGAGTGGGTCTGGCTAGGGCCCAGACACCTTCCCCTCTCTCCCCTCTCCTCCCCACCTCCACCCCCGCTAAGCCCCAGCCTGGCAGACTGAGGGCCTGCAGGCCTAGCAGGGTGGGTCAGCTGAGGCAGGACAGAGGGCCCACAATGAGCCCAATTCCCCTTCATTGTTCCAAAGAGAGCCTGGTCCTGGCGGTGGGATGGGAGGGGGGAGGAGGCGAAGGGAGGAGAAGGGAGCAGTGGGTAGGGAGTGAAGGGTAGAGGGAAAGTGTCAAGCTGAAGGATGAGGGAGCTGGGGGGAGCGGGGGAGGGAATGAAGGGAGAGTTAGGAGGATGTGGCAACAAGAGAAAAATACAAACAGGGCAGGAGGTGTAGCCCCAGCACCAGCGTCAGGGGCTGGATGAGAACAGCTGAGCCCCATCCCAGGCGGAGCCCAGCTGGCCTGCGCCTGCCCCGTGGGGCCCGAGTGCTGGGAAGAGGTCTCAAATCCCAGGACCAGTGTGCTGGGAACCAGAGGCGGGCCCTCCAGCCCGGCCGCCTGACCCCCCGGAGGGCTCCCACCCCACCCTTCCCAGAGATGGTCACCCAGAGCCCTGACCGCCTAGGACCCGGCCCAGCCCAGCGCAACCCTCACAGCCCTGTGGGAGAGCATAAGCCCTTGCTGGTAACTGAAGCCCGCTCTGCACCCAGCACCTCGAGGCACGCACCCGGGACTGCCATCTTTGCTGCTGGGCCACTCTGCTCTTCACGCCCTCCGTGACCCTGGCAAGTGACCTCACGGCTGCACGCCTCAGCTTCCTCATCTGTCCAACGGGACAGTGGCAGTGGTCGCCCCCCAGGCCTGGGGACACTGTGCAGGACACTACACTGGGCTGGGCCCACAACAGCTGGGCTGCTCATGGTGGAACCATCAGGCACGGGACCATCTGGAAGGATCCCTCCCATTCCTGTCCCTGCTGGCGGGACACACACCAAGTGCTCTGGCCTTGCCCTCCATGGGACAAAGAAAACCGGTCCCCTGCCAAGGGAACCCTCCTTCGGCACCACCCCAGACCCCGGGGACCCCTCAGGATTTGCTGGGCCAGCTGGGGGCCGGAGGGGGAGGGCAGACAGGCCAGGACTGAGAGGAGGAAGTCCTCAGGGGCTCCAGGAGAGGGGAGCAGCAGAGGTGGGAGGCCCTGGCCTGGAGGATGGGGGGCTGGGTCCCTTCAGGAGTGGGGAAGCCTTTCCGGGCAGAGGGATCTGCAGGGCAGAGGCCCAGAGGGAGGGAGGAGTGCGGGCACAGAGGGAGGAGGGGAGGATCCAGTGGGAGACAGCAGAAAGCTATGCTGAGAAGTTTGGCTCTCCATGGCAATGGGCACACCAGTGGGCCATCTGAAGCCTGGGGTTGATTGAAGTCAATTGTTCTTACAAGTTTCCCCTGGCGAAAGGATTGGAGGGGCATGACTGGCGGCTAAGAGACTGAGAAATAACAACATAGCAAACAAAAAATGTAACCGTGGCTAACCTTTCTCGGGGCAATGGGTTAGCCATCTCCTTTCATTATCACACATTGCCTTATGGCAGAAAAAATTATATCCCCAGTCTATGGAAGGGGAAACTGAGGCTCCCGGAGGCCCCAGTTTGCAATGAGACACCCCCACCTAGGAGAACGGAGGCCCTGCCTGGGGCGGGCTGGTCTGCGATCCCCCACCCCACCCCAATAAACACACACATCCAATAAACACACACACCCCAATAAACACACATAGTTCCACACCAGAAAGGTGGGGGCGGGGGGACCAGGGGCTTCCTTTTTTAAAAATCGAAAAAGAACAGTTCATTTCCGGCCTGCAGACGGGCTGCCAGCGAGGCCGGCGGGGAGGAAGGCGGCGGACGCGGGTGAAGTTTTCGGCTCCGCCTCGGGGGCCCCCATCCGGGCGCCAACACGCTCGGCGCCCGCCAGCCCGGCGAGCCCTCCCCCGCGGCGGCCAATCCCCCGCTGGGGCTGGCGGCGCTCCTGCCGCCGAACCCGCAGCAGGCGCGGCCGCCCCGCCTCCCGGAGCGGCGTCCCCCTTTCCCCCGCTCCCCCCGCCCGCGTCTCGCCCCGCCGCACCACCCGTCACCTCGTCCACGCTCCAGGGCGCACACCCGAAAGCCAGGGGAGGTTCCCCGGACGCACAAAACAGGTGGCCAGGCGGGAAGGGCTCCCCGACGCCGATCGGCTCCCCGGCCCTCCAGCCGCGGCCACACCCACCCGTCCCCGGGGAGCAGGAACTCGCTCTCCCCAAACAGGCCTCGCGCCCGGAGGCTTCCTAGGAGCCCGGGAGTCCCAGCCCCAAGCCCCCTGCCGGTGAGCCAGGAGACCCTGCAACTGGGGGGCGGGGGGGTGAAGGAAGGAGCATGGGCGCAAAGCAGCCCAAGTCCCATCCGGGAAGCTCCCGCGCCTCCGGTCGGGGGCACCCGCCACCCCCTCCCCGGGTCCCCGAAGGAGAAGGTCCCCTACCTGTCGACCCGCTGCTCTCCGCCTGCGGCCGGGCTCCGTCTGCCCGAGCTGGGCTACGGAGGGGGCGTGGCCGAGGGCGGGCCCGCGGAGGCCCCGCCCCTAGGGACTGCCAGCCAATGGCGCGGCGCCGGGGCCTGGGACGGCGGGGGCGGGACGGGCGGGGACAGCTCCGACGGACCTTTGTGTCCCCGCGCAGACCGGCGGGAGCGCTGGGCGCACGCCGGGGACTGCACCGCCCCTACTACCCCCGCGCGGGGGCGGAGGGCAGTGCCGGCCTGTGCTGGCCCCGCGGCCGGAAAGCTCCCCGGAAAAGCGGGAAAATCCGATCTTGGCGCCTGCACGTCAGTCTCTTAACCCAGCGGGTCCGGTCCGGCCGCCATCTGATCTTCGCTCCGGAATCCGGATGGGCCTGGAGCGCTTTAGGAAAGAATTGGAGGAATGGCAGGAATGGAGAGGCCGAGGGGAGGAAAGGAAAACAGAAAAGAAAGAAAATGCAAAGAAAGAAAGCTTGGGAAAGCTGTTGGTTTTGTTTTGTTTTTTATTCGTTTTATTCTAATCTTTCCCCCCACTCCCCTAGGAAGGAAGAAAGATAGAAACATCAGTGATGAGAGAGAATCATTGATCAGCTGCCTCCTGCAGGCCCACACCTGAGATTGAGCCACAACCTGGGCAGGTGCCCCAGACAGGAACTGAACCCAGGACCCTTCAGTCTGCAGACCTGTGCTCTATCCACTGAGCCAAACCAGCTAGGGCTCATTTTATTCTTAATTCCCCTCCCTCCTTGACTCTGGAGGTAAAAAGTGTTATTCTCCTTTTACTGGAGAGGAAACGAAAGCACAGAGAGAGGAGTGACCAACACCAAGTCACCGCAAGTTTGAAACAGCCCCTGAGCTCAGACTTGGGGTGGTAGATGAAGGACAGGGAAGTGGGGAGGAAGCCTGCAACTGTCCTGGGATCACAGGGCCCAGGAGTGAGGTGGCCCTGGGGTCTCTGCAGAAGCCCACCAGTTCTGCCTGCCACTCATCTCTCTCCTTCTCCGTCCAGAGCACACAGACCATTGAAGACAGAGAACTCCACCAGGAGCCAAGTAGGCCTGCACCTTGAACGTGGACTTCTCAGCCCCCAAAACTGTGAGAATACACTTCTGTTGTTGAAGCTGCCCAGCCTGTGGTATTTTGTTATGGCAGCCAGAAGAGACTAAGGCTGTCCCTTTTTCTTCCTTCCCTCCCCAAACCCTTCTCAGCTCCTCAGTCAGGTGACGCCTCTCAGGGCTTCACGTCCTAGTTTGGGGCAGTTCCAGTCACTCACGGTGTGTTGTCCATGCCAGGCTCTGGGTCAGGCGCTGCGCACCCAGAAGTAAAAAGTGCCCACCCAGTCCCCACCCCAGAGGAGCTGCAGCCTGGTGAAGTGGCAGACAGATTGATAACCGATAACCAATCACCAGGATGCCATGTGGTAGGCTGGATAAGCCTGCAAAGCCCACTGAGTGGCCCGCCCTCAGGCCAATCATTCCAGACTTGCTCTGAGGGAGTTATCTCCCAAGTTGCCATGGTTTAAGCCTCCTGCAGCCAGTGACATCAGTCCACATGTCCACCCTGCCTCATACTACTGGCTCAGACAAGGCTTTGAGGCAACAGCTAATGAAGAGATCTGGCCTATTTCTGCCCCATGAGGACCAATCTGCCAATCAGCCAGCCATCTGACAAACACTTATTGGATATGCACTCTGTTCCAAGCCCCAGACTGAAAACCCACACTGGTCCTGCGCCTTGGTACTCTTACAGGAGGCAGATGTTAAACCGGCAATGGTATAAAAGCCCATTGTGCCCACAGCAGGGATGGGCACCATGCTGGGGGAGCCAGAGGGGCTTCTCTGGAAAGTGCTAATGGACCTGAGGTCTTCCAGAAGATCAGGAACTAAACAAAGGAAAGGATGCTCTCAAGAGAGGCTACCAGAGCATGTGCAAAGGCCCTGAGGTGACAGGGCATGTAGGATGAGTTGGCAGTGGCCAGAATGAGCCAAATGTATGAGTCTCAATTAAAGAGCTTCATCTTTAAGAGTGATGGCAGCCAGGTAAGGGCTTACCACAGGGAAGAAGTGGAGACTCCTCTCTCCAAAATGCACGTCCCATCGATCTCCTGTCCCCATTCCTTCTCACTGTGACTGAGGCCTATACTCTCACCAGGAGCAGCAACCTCCACCCATCCCTTCGCCTCACTCCAATTTTCTGTGCAGCAGCCAGAGTGATCTTTCAAAGCCCAACCATTTTAAAAGAAAAAAAATATTCATGCTACTTGGTAAGGCAGACTTTATTCTGGACTATCACAATAGGTGCCGGGGTTCTTGTTCCAGCATTACAAATGGCTCAGCAATCTGGAGAAAGGCTGTGTGTAGATTAAATAAGAGTCCAGAGATGAAAGATAATTTTGAAAGGCATTGGGGGTCAGAGGAGCTTTAGCTAAAGGAGCTAAAGTTCTGCCAAGACTGGTTTGGCTCAATCGATAGAACGTCAGCCTGTGGACTGAAGGGTCTCAGGTTCAATTCTAGTCAAGGGCATGTACCTTAGTTTCGAGCACATCCCCAGTGGGGGGGTGCAGGAAGCAGTTGATCGATGTTTCTAACTCTCTCCCTTCTTCTCTGTAAAAAATCAATAAAATGTATATTTTTTCAAATAAAATAAAGGAGCTAAAGTTCTAAGTTCTTAGTTCTCCTTGTCTCAGGACCCCTGCTTTTTATTAACACAATTTTTCCCAAGGCAAGGTGGAGAGAATACACTTCAAAGGGTAGAGTACAGAAGCATTGTCAGATTGGGGAATACTCTACAGCTGTTCAGGTGTTTGGCCAACAGGAGGCAATAATATGTAGATTGAGGTGACCTGAGCCGTCTGATAGCAAACAATTATCCTTTTCAGGTTTGGGGGAAGTGCCTTTTAGCCATTCCAGCAGGTGATTACATATGTGACTTAGCCCTTGTTGAGCCCCCAAGTTTCATCAACCTTTTGATGAAACTCTTGTAATTATGACATTCTGAAATTGGCTTGCAGCATATAGGGAGTACTGCGTGGGGCTTTGCAGCAAGGGAGAGAGATTGCACTCAACTCCAAATACAATAAGGAAAAGTGGGAATTTATACTCAAGGAGCTGGGGGGGCGGGGCGCGTTACTGAGTGGAAACATCTGGCTAAATGGGCCTAGCAGGATTCTTGCAGAAGGCAGGCCAGTGTGCTCAGACATCACCTGGAGGTTGGTGGGAGATAAGGAACTTGGTCAAATATCAAGGGTGACCATTTATTGAGGGTGAGGGATTCTGGCCAAACCAACTTAAGAGGACTCTTGCTAAAACTGGACTGTACAAGGATAAAGACAGGAGCCCAGGGTCAAGCAGAGGGCTCAAAGAAGCCAGCCTAAAGTTTGGTCAAGAAGAGACTCTTTAGCCCTGGCTGGTTTTCTCAATGACAGCCCTCCTCCTCCCCCCTCTTCCCCCCCCCCCCCCCCCCACACACACACACTGGAGCATCTCAGGTTCAATTCCCCATCAAGGGCACCATACTTGGGTTGCAGGCTCCATCCCCAGCTCTGGTCAGAGTGTGTGCAGGAGGCAACCAATTAATGTGTTTCTCTCACATCAAAGTTTCTCTTTCCCTCCATCTCTCTCTCTCTCTCTCTCTTTCTCTCCCTCCACCCTCCCTTCCACTCTGTCTCTAAAAAAAAAAAAGGAGGGGGGGAGCCATAACCCATTTGGCTCAATGGATAGTGTCGACCTGCAGACTAAAGGGTCCCAGGTTCAATTCTGGTTAAGGGCATGTACCTTGGGTGAGGGCACATCCCCAGTAGGGGGTGTGCAGAAGGCAGCTGATCAATGTTTCTCTCTCATCAATGTTTCTAACTATATCACTCTCCCTTCTTCTCTGTAAAAAAATCAATAAAATATATTTTAAAAAACAAAAGGGGGGGGGGGTGATACTCTCAGGTAAGGATTAAAAAAAAATAAAAAAAGGAGAAGCTATTTATGTATCTATAAACAGTCTCCATGTCCCTCCTGTGCTCAAAACCCTCCAGTGACTCCGTATTGCTCTTTAAATAAATGCCAGCTCTCCTGCTGTACCACTCCAGATTTGACTTAGCTGACTATGAGAAAGCTCCAGTGAGACGGTGCGAGGTGGAGGTGGCTATCTGTGCCGCGTGAAAGAGGCCTCGGTCTGCAGTCCTCAGACTTGATGTCTCCTGTGTCCTCGCTCCGGCATCCTTCACCATTGGCCTCTGGTGGTCTCTGGGGCCGGGGTTCCAACCGCACACAGCAGCAGCTTTATTGGGAGGGGAGAGGCAAAGGAGCATTTTCTACTCTTTAGGGTCTCAACCCCGTTGTCTAGCGAGCCCCACCACACTCTGGGCTCCCCTTAGAGTTCTCATCTAACCCTCTCGTCCCTGTGCCTCCCAGTTCACCTCTGTCTCCCAGTGGCCACAGCTCTGGGAACACAGAACATCACGTGTCGGGCCCAGCAGGCGCCTGCAGTGCCCAGCCCCGCACAGAGGCCTTGTGAGCAGGCTTGCATCCTGTGTGAAGCCACTTCCCGCAGCACCTTCTCCAAACACAGAAATGCTGACCTGGGAACTGGAGGGAACTGGTGCGAGGCTTCCTGTAGGAAATGCCAAATGGAGTCTCCACAGGTGGGAGGAGTATTCCAGGCAGAGGATCAGCAGAACTGAAGGCCACATCCCCCCCCTCCTTCCCCCTCTCTCCCAGCTCCAGGAGGTGCTGCCACCCCCAAGGGGGTGCTTCGGGCATGTGGTAGGGCCTCCACAATCATCCCAATGAGGGGGGTACTCCTGGCACGGAGAGCAAGGGCGTGGCTGTGGAGGGGAGGCAGTGCAGTCTTGAGGAATCACCCACAGAGAACAGCTTCCAGCGCCCCCACACCGTCAGTGGGACACCTAGAACTGTTCCCTCACCCCTGCCCGCCCCACACAAGTGCAGGCTCCCACACAATCAACATCCCAACATCCCATCCATGGAGGAACCTACATGCATCCACAGGCCCTCCGCCCCGCCTGCTCTGCCCAGTTCCTGCTGCTCAGGTCAGACAAATAACCGGCGTCACTTCCTGTTTCCTTCTCGTTCTCCCATCATTGTCGGGAAGCCACTGTGTATTT